CCTTCTTTAGGGGAAGCTTGCGGCTGCACGTATAGGCTAGAGTAGATATGACCAGACCAAAGTTCTTTTCTTCCCATGAGCCTCATTGCTGCCTTTGCCTTAAGGATGCTGGGAAGCAATCTCTTTCCCAGGGTGTCTTTCTGGGAACGAGGCTTGCTGGGAAGAGGGGACAAAAGAAAGCGCGCGAGGGACAATGGGAAGGGAAAAAATAGAAACTATCTTCAATTTCCCATCGAGAGCAATCGAAAGCTGAAGATTTTCAAATTCAGTTAGTTTTTATCCTTCTTGGTAATATTACGTGTATTAACGAGCTTTTTTTAAAATCATTTTTAGGGCACGGCGGATACGTTTATTACTCTTGATACCTTGGAAGGAACAGAGGAATATGTTGAAGATCTGACAATCAAGTAAAGCAATCATTGTATTTTGTCTGTTACAAATGTTCCGTTGAAACCAAATGTCGACTGATGACCTGATGCACCGACCGATGGTTCTAGGGAGCTAATAACATTGTTGCGACATTGTTTCGAAAGGCTGCAACATTGTTCCATCATTTGAACTCTGTGTTCTGCTAAAAATCGTCGTTGCGAATTGTCTCGTGCAACATCACGTTTAAAGATGCCACAACGGCAATGTCGACGGGAACGAGAACGGAAAAAAAGCAATAGGTTGAATAGGCAAAACAACAACTCTACACTTGCAGCATGCTTTCTTGTACATTTTTTTGCTGTCGCTGCACGACGACGACGTAAAAATGCCTAGTTTCACGTTTTTTGGAGAACTTAAACGAGCGACGAGGAATATTCCTTCTCTTTCCGAACTTGGATATGAATGTAAGGATTTCGGCTTCAGAATAGTTCGCTTGCATTTGACAAAGTTAGCAAAATGTAATCTATCGCGATTGAGAATTTCTGTTGTTAATGATTCCATGGGCAGTAAAATTTGAGGTATTGAATTCTATGACATTAATGATATTGATTTGTTGTGTTAATCTCGTGTACTATTTGAAGGATCATTTGACCACCTAGCCCTCCCCTAAATCACAATTTTGCCCCAAGCGAGCAGTAAATGTTAGTGTTGATTTATGGGAGGGGTAGGAGGGCAGTTACCCAGAAACCTTGTTTGAATATATATACTCCTTTATCAGGTATGTCGATGGAGCAAGTCACTGGGTGCAAGTGCATAAACCGGAAGTTGTGAATCAACACATCCGGGACTTTTTAGCTGTTCAACGCAACTGAAGTCGCCAGTGAGGAGCTTAATCAACGTTGACGGCGACGGCAACGAGAGCGGCCAGAAAGCAGTAGGTTTAGGCTACGTCATCAAATTTCTCCTTGTAATATCAATGCTTTGTAAAACAGAGTGGTCATGAGAATTACGGACATGATGACACAAGATGAATTTACTTGATATTTTATCAACTTCTCCCCATTACTTCTGTAGCAAATAAATAGGGGCAACAACGAACGAGAATTCAAATTTTGATCTCAGGGTTTAAAGGGTTAACCGTACGAAAATTTAGCCTGCAAAATGTAATGTATAAAATTTCTACAGTTCCAAACTCTATTCAATGGGAAACGGTACTGTTAGTTGTCTATTTGCTTTATTTTAACTTGTAAGGTAATAACGTAATGTAATTACATTAATCAGGTCAGTTGGAGCTTCTTTTCTCGATTTTCCCCGTAGACGCTCTACGCTTACGACGACGTTCTGATGGAGTCGCTCCATCTTCTGTGCTATGGACATTTAGATTTTGAGTGCTTTCTTTAAGAGTCATATAAATCTTGTAGTAGAAATAAAACATTGCAATAGTGGTTACCGTGAACAGTCCTGTGACAGGTATGGCATATGAAATATACTGAATTTTATAAGTAATAGTGTAGAAAGCTCTCAGGGTTAAAAGGGTTAACCGTACGAAAATTTAGCCTGCAAAATGTAATATATCGAAATATATAAAGTTTCTACAGTTCCAAGCTCTATTCAATGGGAAACATTACTGTTAGTTGTCTATTTGCTTTATTTTAGCTTGTAAGGTAATAGCGTAATGTAATTACATTAATCAGGTCAGTTGGAGCTTCTTTTCTCGATTTTCCCCGTAGACGCTTACGCTTACGAGATAGTTGACTGTAATAAGGACTGATGAATATTTTTTTCGTAATACATGTATGCAGGGTTCTGTCCCAGGATTTATCGTTTGGGGGAGAAGTCCCGAGTGACCGTGACACTGACCTCGTCGCGTTTGGATAACAGTTCTCCGATATAGTTCCTTATATACTGTAATGATAACAATATCTTTGTTTTTTGGGGGGGGGGGGGGGGGGGGGAAGATTCTACCCCTCAAATACCCTAGATCATGGCTCTTGCCCAGATATAACCCTGATATGTACCCGTATTCTTGAAACCTATTACCAAACGTATGTTTAGTCGTATAGCTAACAGAGCCTCTTGAAATAAATGTTTTCACTCCAGAAGTAGTTTTTCCGTCCCTTCAAAACTTTCAAAACCATTTTTATCGTATGTTTTAAGACTTTTTAAACGCTCTCTCGGTATCAAGGTAAAGACTCATTTTGAAAAGGGTAAAAGAAAATTGTCGCGTAGAAGTTAACGCGTACTGCTTTGAGCCTTCAGTGCGCGCCATGACAAGCGAATTTAAAATTAAAGGCTCGTTGAATTTGATATTAAAAAAGAAAAACAAACACAAAACAACAACAACAAATTAGTTGGTTAAACTGTGCGTATAACCACGTTTTGTTAGAGAAAACTTCACGGCTCTATCAAATTCGTTATTTAACACGTCGAAACACGACTGCCATTTTGAGGATTTATTTCAAGCATGCGCCCTTTCATCGCCTGTCACATTCCTGACAGGCGAAGCTTCGTCGACAAGAGATCTGGGTACAAGATTAGGATCAAAGGGAAGAACCATAAACGGAAATTTGGCAAACCAGTGAATAATATGGTCAATGGATCTAATGCTGATTTAACACCCTCCAGTCCAGCCTCGTTTCCAGTCGTCCTCGACGATTTCGTATTTGACGTCACCTCAAACTTGTCGGGAAAATGGTTCCAAGCCTACTCTGCTTGCTAGGACAGCGCGAATGGCCTGGGTAGTAAGCTGCCTGTTTATGTCTACAATCAGATGAAAATATGCGATGCGTTAACTACTTTGAAAATTGCTCGCTATTTTTATCCTTTTCACTGGAGTACTAACTAAGAATTTTAAGGAGCTTGATCCAAGTAGCCTGCGTTGCAACCGGCTTACGCACTCGTCTAAACCATTTGTGTAATCTCTACAGAGGGTTTAGAGCGTCTGCGACGAAGGCAAGGTTCAACAGACTGGATTTATACGAGTCAGAAAAAGGATAACCGGAAACGAGGTCAATGGAAATTGAAATCCTATGTTCCCAGCCTCAATTGTATTCCCATTGTTTGCCTTAAATCCTTGGTACTACCATATATAAAGTGGGACAACCCAGTTTTCATTTTATATCTAAAAAAGTCTGCCCTGGTCAGCCTTATTTTGATGTAATTTTTTTAAAATGAGTTTATGCTAAATTCATAAATCACCTATCGTCTGGTATCTCATCGATGCTAAAAGCTCGTCATAACCTTTAATTTCTTCTCCTTCTGTGAGAAGGTTTGAGGTTATCGTCACAAAAATGTTTTTGGATTTTGTTTAAAAACACCTTTGAGGCACCTTGGAAATGACTTATGCTCCAAAAAGGACAATGTAAATACCAGAATTTTTACGTTATTCTACACAATCTTTCCTAGAACTACAGCTCGTATCAGCAGGCTGCAAACAGACGTTTTCCATCTAAAAATTGAATTTGTGCATGCCGGGATTATCAGGACCTTCGCCCTCATTAATTTACACGCTTGTCATTGACCATTTCCTTGTTTATAGAAACAAAACTTTACTTGCGCGTCCTTAACCTTTTTATGTCACTAATAAATCATCTGTCAACGTTACAAAACCAACCGTCCGTTTTTTCAGTAAGCCAATGAGAACGGAAAAATTCTAACCGTTTTACGGATTGGGACTGTTTATGTTTAGTTTAAATTAGACCAATCACATCCTATAGATGGAAGCAAGTTAATCGTATAAAAGCACATATGTCAGTCAGTGGCTTGCAAATCTAGACACGCCATTCTAGTAGAGAGAAGTACGAAACCTCAGTCGACGCAAAGAAGTTTTTAAAAACTTTTCATGGCGATGAAGACGCTGGAGGTTTTACTCTTTGCTCTTGCTGTTGTGACGTATGTACACAGTTACAACATGGATAGGAGTGACCGTGAAATCGAGGAGTTTTTTCGTCGGCGGTTACCCGCGCGCCCTCTTGAGGTCAGAAAAACGGATAAACGAGGTAAGTCTGCAAGGTTCTTTTTTGTCGGCACCTGAACGCAAAAATTAATAGAAAAAGTAAATATCTTGCCTAGGTTTCAAGAAATTTCATACATGATTTAAAGCACGTGGGCGCCAACAGCCGGTCATGAGTGTGCACAAATTTGAGATGTCACTTGTTTTTGAAGTGAGGGAATTAAGGTCTTTCCTAGCACTTTCATGGGATCAATCGTTTGAATGGTTTAAGTTGAAATGATATTTGCGCTATGTTTCTCTCTCCCTCTCCCTCTCCCTCTCTCTCTTTTTTTATTGTTTACACGTTTCTGCTTTAAATTCCGTCTAAACAGTTTTATAAATTAAAGTACTGCAAGCCACTTCAGGGATGTAGAGATTAATTATGAAAGTTTGCGGATTAAGCCCAACGGATTTTAAACCAGTCCAGTCCACGACCTGAGGGAAGATAGTTTAAATGAAGGTTGAGAAAAATTTATACGATCCCCTAATTTCTTATACAGCGTCAATAAAATTTCAGCTATAGACAAAACTGTTTTAAACGGTCATCGTTGATAAAGACAAATAAGGTCACACACTAAACGATAAAAATGTTCAGTGACGGGTCTATTTTAATCATTTGTCAACTTGTCAGTCACTTCTTGGCCACCAATGCGATTAAAATTCCCCATTCAGATCTTCCAAAAAGCCGTGAAAAAGCGCTTCTCGGCTATCAGATCAACACCTTTAATCTTCTTTAGTCAATAGCACTTGTTTTAAAAGAAGAGGGACATGGTACGTCGACCAAATCCAAAATGAAGTTACTTTTCTTTATGACTAGGATTTTATGGCTTTTTTGGAATACTGGTTTGGAATGTAACAACGGTTTCATGTTATTGCTCCATTAAAAAAAAAATTCAAGCAGACAAATGACCTTTATTGTCACTCAATTTACGAAAATGCGTTGATCAGGGGCGTTGATACATTTATATAATTAGAATCTGAAAAATTTTATTTATTTCATCACCGTGGAGGAAGCAGGATTTTCGAAAAAAAAAAAAGCTACAAGGTTACATACCTTGTAGTACAGTCGCGTTGTGAGAAAATTAGACGAAAAATGAACACTTTACAACCCCTTCGCCCCCTCCCCCAAACAAATACATTGGGGAGACTGAAATTTTATAAAAATAGGTAAAGATTGGAAAAAATGGCTTGTTTTGGCCCTCTTGCGGCGTTATCCTTAAATTCGGTGGAAAAGTGTGTTCGCTTTTCCAATTTATTAATCTATCCGTATCCAGCGAAATGTAAAACTTGAGTAGTTAAATCCTGGCAGTACTTTCAATTATTCCTTACATTTTCTAACCCTGTATGGATTATTGTGCTGTCCGCCCAAAACTGGTATTTCAAATTATTACGGAAAATATGTTTTCAAGATCAATATAAAAAGTGTTCTAGAATTATCTCCTGAAATGTCCTTTCGGCGGGATCTTTTCTTTTATAGTGTTTTCGTTGCCATTGTTGACCTTTGATGTTATCGTACAGTTAACAGTAGACTATCATATTTTCAAACGTTAATTTGAATTGGGAGAGTTCTTACGTACTGAAGTCTGAATAACATCAACACCCGTAAACAAAAACGATGTCTTCCATAAACAATAGGCACCTTCAGATGCAAGAACGGCGACGGCAACGAAAACGTCTCTGAAAAAGGGAATTCGCTTTTTTTCAAACTTCGTCGCAATTATTCCAAATCACTTACTTTGTGAAAATGTAGAGGAACTCTCATGGAGTTGAATCCCTAAGAGCCTTATCTAAGTTAGCAAAGAAAAAGGAAATTTCGTCGTTGCTTGTTTACGTACACCTTGAAACGTGAAATTAGACATTTTCATGTCGCAGTCGTCGTAGTCGTGCGTGTATATTTTGGGGGCCATACGATTAGCGCTAATCGTATGGCCCCCAAAATATAACAACACGCAATAACATGTATTAAGACATTTCTTATAACGGCCGTTTACAGCATAGTTAAGATATTTTTCACTGCTATCGGAAGTTTTACTTACGCACAAAACGTGTTATATATGCTGTTCTTTGTTAGTTCTATTCATTCCCTCAAGAAGTCTCAGTAAGAGACGAAACGCGTCGGAAATAAACAAAAAAGGTTACAACTACAAGAAGTCTTCCTTTGTGGTGCTCACTAGTCTTCGTTAAAAAACTTAAAAAAATAAATCACGTACAAAACAACGTGGTGCTCGTGCAAATTTGTTGTTTTGCTTACTAAGGCCTTGTCCACGCGTATTCGTTTTCATTTGAAAGCGCAACTTTTTCTTTACGGATACGGCTTTCGTCCACACGTATCCGATGAAAACGATCAATGAAAACGGAACTTTTCGAAAACGCTCTTCAGAGTGGACCTTTTTGAAAACGTTGTTTTCGCGTGTACGTATGGACAGACAAAAGTGGAACTTCTCGAAAACGCTGAGGACACACTATACGGTCCAATCCACCCGCGCAATATTAGAAACTTATTTAAGATGGCGGGCCGGCTCTTCCCTTTCTTGTCTTCTAATACGTATGCGTCAGGCATGCGCAGTCGGGTAAGTTATCGTTTTCAAATCGATTCATCGTAAACGTGTGGACGGGTGAAAACGATGCGAAAACGCTTCGAGTGAACGCGAATTTTTTTGAAAATGGAGAAAAAAAGTTGCGTTTTCAAACGAATACGGATACGTGTGGACAGGACCTTAATTAAACCTGTTGCTTTTTTGGACCTTCTTGTTACCGTCGCCGTCGGAGGATTAAAGGTCCCTAATCTCGTTCCCAGAGGCCGCGATCCTTTTGGTCAGCGAAGAGGATCCGTGACGCCTGGGGACGCGGTTGCTCCAATAATCGTCTTCATTTTATATAATCGTCCCGAGGGAATTTCTGCGCAGGTTAAGTATACCGAGACCTCTAAAGTTTGCCCAGATCGATGGATTTCTTCAAGTTAATTTTCCCGTATTATCCCTCTGGGTCAGAGGAAATGATTCTTTTAAGTGCCTTCGAAGTGAAAGCTAAGTGAAATGAGCTCGTTTTAAAAATACTATCAAGTTAAGAAGGATAATGTTTTACTGTTTTGCATTTATATCTTGAAGTCACTGTAATTCGGGTAAATGTTTTGCCGGAATTGTACCACAGGCTGTTCCATGCAGCCATTGTAAAAGCTTTTGACCTCAAGGAAGTTTCAACTCTTTCGGATTGAACAAATCGGTTATACTGACAGACCGGACAGGTTGGAGGTGGCAAGAAATCGGAACCCTGTTTTAGCCAATCAGAAGCCGATTAGGCTCGATTCGAGCGCGTGCTCATTTCCTGAATAGCGGTTGTTAATCAAGTCTAAAGGCGAAAATGAAAAGGCGGAGGCAAAAAGTAAGCAATTAACTTGTTATAAAGGTAATAATGATAAATATATCAATGTTGTCATTTTATAGCATACTGCTTTGACGTGAGCCCTATGAGATGCATTGTAAGGGAGGACCTGTGTCATGATCTGCAGTCGTTTTCAAGTTTCCAGAGATTCGTAAGCTTTGTTACAGACGAATGCCCTTACACCTGTGGTTTCTGTTATAAGTAAGGTTAGTATCTTTGCGTTTACGGCTGGTTTTCACTAGCGACGGAGTCGTAAGGGTGCCTACGACTCAGTGAAAATCAAAAATCGGAGTTGCGCAGCATCATATGAGTGACGGAATCAGTGTCGGAAGAATCAGAACGTTTCCATGTTCTTCCGACTGCGCTTGTGACTCCGTAGTCTGCTACACAGCCGTTTTTAGTGTCGTCACGCAACGTGACAACACTAATAACACAAGTGGCGTGACGACACTAAAAACGGCTGTGTAGCAGGCTTGTGACTCCGTCGCTTACCATCTATTGAAATCCAGATTGTCGGAGTCGGAAGCAGAAGCGGAAATATAAACCAATCACAATGCACGTTCCCACGTTTTGTGATTGGTTCAGTTCCTCGGCTTCTGCTGGCGACTTCGAAAACCTAGTTTTCGCTTGATCAAAAACGACGACGGAGTCGTAAGCAGAATCAGAACGCTGTTTTCACTAGATCTTAAACTTCTATGCCTCTGATTACGACTCCAAATCCGTCGCTAGTGAAAACCAGCCTTTAGCCTTGCTTAATTATAAAACAATAAATTTTTAGTCAATGAATTTCAGTCAAACAAACCATTGGAGTAAGGATAGTGGATGGGAATTCTTGGGTGAAACCATTTAAATGGAAGCTGCTGAATTACTTGATATTGCAAAATACTTTGATCATTCAAAAGTATACAGTAAAACACCGATTTCTCGAACCATTCTTTTTTTGAAAATTGCTGATAATTCGAACCAAACGTAACTTCCCTTCACCAGTAAAACCTGCCGATGCATTTATCTAGGTCATGTAGGCCTTTTCCGACTTCCAAAAAACCCCTACTCTCAAACCGCCGAGCCGATGTGAAAATTATTTTATTTGCATAACAATTAAAAAAATCATTTTCATAATGGCTTCGCTTTTGGCTCGCTTTGTAACAGAGTCATGGGGTTACACAGAAATGGCCTGTTCGAACCAATTTGCTTTTACCAAGGGGGTACCAAAAATTGGCATACCACTGTAATTAAAATCTTGTTCAGAACACCTGATGAAAAGAAGGACGATAAAAACGGAGGATGAGAAAGCTTGCAGGGTGATTAAATCCTCACAAAAATCCAATGCTTGGCTCGGTCGTTTTCATTTATTCAGTTTAGAGTTTGTGGGAGGGAGAAGGTGTCTTTCGTGCTAGAGGCCAGCAAGTTATCTTTCTTAACCATTTCTTTCCAAATGTATGTCGCCTACAAACTTCGTCTTAGATGTTCAATATTTTGGTAATCTTTATATTCCATTGTTCCTAGCATTGCAGGAGAAGAGACAGGAATCACGGCTCAAACTTAAGAAGAATGCTAGCATGAAGACCGACGTTAACCGCATTTAATTAAATATAAGGAATATTATATGTTCAAGGGAAGTTACCCAAAATATACCTAACTATAAGCTCATATCCTAGGCTAGGCGCGACTATCCGGTACATGTAGCCAACATTAATGTTGAAAACGCTTTGACTAAGCAAAAAAAGTAACCTTAGTCTAGATCTTAAGACCGTTTGTTTGCTAGCTCAGTTTTGTTACACGCTGAAATAATACTTTTGGAGACTGTTTGAAAATGTATATAATAGAGTCATGTATACAAAGATTAACATAAAATCGTCGGTTTTGCGCAATTTTCGCAAATTTTGCAAAATCCGCAACTGGCTTTGGGATTTTTCGCAAGCACACCAAAAGTCTCAAATTTTCCAACTGTGTGAAAAACTGAACATAAGTGTTCAATTGTGAAGAGAGAAAAACATAATTCATGGCCCTGTGTTAGAACTTCCTTCATTCCTTCACTTTAGACTGAAACGTTAGGCTGTAATTATGCAGAAGACAGCAAAGAGATCTAGCAAAAAGTGTGTTGCACGTGTAGACTTTAGTTCTCTTGCTTATGAAATCAACTGTTTTTTTCTTTCTCGTTTCTGACTTAACCGTCTCCATTTCGTAAGCTCGCGATTGATTCTACCGTTACTACCCTTTTTCCCCATATTGTATTAGTGATTAGCTTTTTAAAGATCAGTAACTGAAAGTGTGTTTAAGACTAAATTGTAACTTAGAAAAGTGAATTAATTAATAAATGTGAGTAGAAATACCGACTTTTTATACCTGACCCAGCCTTACTTCATATCAAAATCTATCACAGCCTACGAGACGGTTTTCTTTTCGGGCTGGTTATCCTACTCGTCTTATCTTGCTCGTTGCCATTTTGTTGCCGGTGAAAGTGGGAACTTGCACAGACGATATCATTACTTCCGGTCAACCTCGTTCCCAGGGCTTTTTCCATTTTCCTAGAGAAATAGCCCTGGGAACGAGTTTGACTTTCAGTGAGCTCTGATGTGCCCTGTCCACTAGAAGACCGACAACTCGCTTTAACCCTCCTGTAAAAGACGAAAGGAAAATAGGAATAGACTGACCCTTGGATGGAACTTGAATTATGGCCAAGTCAGGACTCTAATATATATTAAATGCTCCCGTCAAAGATATTACAAATATGCCGATTATACTAGCAGTGACACAAAAGAGCAAAAATTATGCCTGTATTTGTATAATTTCCAAATTGGCCAAGGATAAGGTTAGCTCAGAAGGTAAGGGCCTGACAGAAAATCGCCATTACGCGCTGGTGGCTATTATCAAGCACACCCTGTTGCAGGCTCTTCTGTCGTCCTCTAAGAGAAAAAGATACAAAACTTTAGGTGAAACCATTCAGACAAATATACAATGATCTTTATTCAGTTATATATGCAATAAACACAAAGCTTTTATGGCGAAATACAGTTTTTGACTAAAAACACAAAGTATATTAAATATTAATTTACAAATTCGAAGAATCGTGGATGTACTGTTTAAAAAACGAGCTGGATCGAGACTGAGGATTGTATTATAAGGTTTAAAAGTCGTCTCTCGCCTCGAGGTTTTTTAACCTGTTAATACACGACTGCGAGTTTTTCTTTTCCGATACAGATCAACTCATTCTTGCACTACCATTTAGATTTGGGGTTGTTTTGGTCTGAAATATTGGGCCTAAAGTTAAGCCGTGTCTTTATCAGATATAAACACTCATTAAACATTAATTTCTTTTGTTTTATGAATTATTAATGAGTTTTTGAATATGCAATTATTTCATAATCTACTGGAGTTTCTTTAACGTTCCCATGCAGAGCTATTTCTGAGAAATGCTCCATGGTGATTCTCCTTGCTGTGGTATTTCAGTAGAATTTTCTCTGATGTTTTCTCAAAGAGATCGTTCATGCCTGTTGATGATTTGCTATGTTGTTGGTCTCCCTGTGCTGCGCTAACTTGGAAAACTTTCCATATACGGCTTTAATCTGCTGGACCCCGAACTGTCCGTACACAAAGATCTTGTCACTTGAGTATCCCAGCTTTCTCATTCCCTGAAGCACTCCCATGACCATTCGAGGACCTCCACATACTATCACCCGATGACTAGATTCTTCTGGTGGAGGGAGGGAACTGGATAGCAGCTTGGAATCAATATAGCCCTGCCCTCCCTCCCAGTCATCGCAGTCAACCTCGCTGACGGTAAAGGACAATTTTAATCGCTTGTCGTACTTGGCATACTGCTTTAATTCTTGTTGGTAGGGAATACCGCCTGGTTTTTCAGCGTAGATCAGGAGAACTACTGAGGTTTTATCAGTCGGATCAGCCACTATTTCGCGCAGTATTTGGACTGCAGGCTGGCATGACATACCGGTTGCCAACAAGGTCAGGTTTTTGGTTGAGTTGGGTACGTATTCGTATCCACCGCAAGGGCCGGAGAAGTCTGCAGTATCACCTGGTAAATGAGGAAATAATATCGTTAGAACTTTCTGTAATATATCAAACATAAGATATCTTACACCGTTAAGTACGTAGTGATAAAACATACACGAGAGAAAATTTATTAAAATGATATCCAAACACCGTGAGGTTATATATGAACACGATAACGAATGTTTCGTCTTATATTCAAATACCATGTAGTGATGAAAACAAAGAAGTGAAAGTATGTAAACATAATATCCCGCACACCGGGGGCGATATATCAGCTTAAAACTGAGAGTTATATCTGATATTCGACGACCAGGAAGAGATACAACAAACACGATTGAAAAGGATTGTTTCATGTTATTCAAACATCATGGAGTGATAAACCAGCACGAGATAGACTGTTTCATCAAACATCCCAACCCCATGCATTGGCAAGACAAACAGAAGTGAGGGTTTATCATATGCTATCCAAACACCGTGAAGTGACCACAAAAAAAACACGAGGGGAGTGTTTTAAATGATATGAAAAAAGCGAGCAGTAATTCAAAAATTAACGACGTTTAACCTAGTCTTTTTGGCCGAATTATTTGTTTATCAGTTTAATTATTCTTTTGCGTGCTTGAGAAAGTTCCTCAAATGATTAATGATGCTCGATGAACTGGTTTAACCATCTAAACCCTAATATCAAAATTGAGATTCTCACTTATTGTCCCTATACTTTTTCAATAGAAGTGGTGGGGAGAAATTGTTGAAATATCAATTAGACTCATCTTCCCTGATCATGTACTCAATTCTCATGACCAAGCCGTTCTCTAAAGCATTGATATTATAAGGAGAAATTTCATGCTGATCACCCTTAGTGCTTAAAGGTTAAAGTAAAAGGGTTGTAAAAAGCATGTCTTGTTAATTTGTGTTTTTTTCTTGGAAAATGTGCACGATGACACATTTGGTCTAACTGTAAGTTCCTACCAAAAGAAAATACCAAGACTGTTAGTTTAAATGAGCGCTTCTTAGCAGTTTTTTTATTGTGCTGTTTGATGCTATACAAAGTAGTTTCAGCCTTTAAAACAGTGACAATTCTCATAAGGAAAACCCTATTAAGTCAAGATGGCTCTGAAATGAAATTCATTTTTGTCAAAAAAGAAATTCTGTAATGTGATGTGACAATTCAAACAAAAAGCTATTGAGCAGTATTGCTTTGGGAGAATAGCAAGCATTAGGCAGAACTACAATTAGCGACGCCTTATGATGTTGAATGTTCGATCATACAATTCTTACCGACTTCGAGACAGCGCATTGAGTTCGAGAACATTCCGTGTGTTTCAAGCTTCAGCAGCAGTGAAATCTTTCCAGGTTCCTTAGCGCGTGACACTGGTGAGAGGAACCGCTGATTTTTTCCCAGTCTCACTCGAACGTACTGACCAGGAAAGCATCCCGTAAGGTCAGAGGCCTGGGGCAACGCAAAGGTGTACTCTGCAACCATTTCAGTAAGAGGTTGTACGGAAAGTAGTTTTAAAGCGATGAACTCATCCGGTTTAAGACACGTTTTCTGTTTAAGTTTAAACCCATTAGTAGAATCCAGAGATTTAAGGGTCGCTGGAGGACTGGTATTGAATGGGTTATCAAACTCCGAGTCCTGGTACGAGTGATGGATGTCGTTTTTCCCGTTTGCGTTTTCAATTTCTGCCTCTGCAAGCAGTTTCTTGGCCAGTTCACGCTTTGCGTCTCCACTTAGCTTCTTTAGCTCCAAGTTAAGGACGCGGTCATCAGAAACTTTGCACCTAAGAGGAGATTTGAAAGAGAAAATTGCTCAAAGGCGCTGAAAATAAGTAGTTTGTTCCTACATGTGGTTTTGTTCAATATCTCAGTTCTGAGTAGATCAGAGTGAACCGACAAATCAATTGAAGGTAAAACTTAGCAGTCTTTTCATTAGGTGGTTGATGGGATTCTAAAAATGCGATCATTCAACTAAAAGCCACTAAATAGTCCTACATGTGCCTTTGTTTATCACAATTCCAGGGTGGCTTTACTCCTTTTGAATCTGTGGATGAAATCCTAAATTGTGACCATTCAAATAAACGTTTTCGTGCAGTACTCTTCTGTGGTTTCTTTAATAGGGACCTTAAGATCCGAGGACGGCGACGGTAGCGGAAATGTCGCTGAAAAAGTAAATTCGCGTTCTTTCAATCTTCATCGCGATTAATATATTACTCCAAGTCGCTAACATTGTCAAATGTAGGTGAACCCTCCTAAAGTTGAATTCCTAAGAACCAAATCCAAGTTCAGATAGAGAGAGGAAATTTGTACGTTGCCTGTACAACGTAAAATTGGGCATTTTCACGTCGTAGTCGTGCAGTAACAGCAAAGTAATGTACAAAAAAGCGTGATGCACGTACAAAATTGTTATTTTGGTTACTAAACCTATTGCTTTTTGATGTTCTTGTCGCCGTCGTCGGATCTTAAGGTCCCTAAAATGCTGTACAAGGTGGCTCTAACATTTTCGTCTGTGGATAGAATCCCAAATGGGAGATACTAAGTTGCGCCACAGAACAAGGTGCTTTAGCTTTTTAATTTTGTGGGATATCAAGTATTTAAAACGAGGGAGAATTATTATTTGCTGACTTAGGCTTCGGAAGGTGCAAAAAAAATTGCATGTTTCCTGGATTATTTTCTTACCAAAAATCTATCGCATTAAGACCAAACAGGCTCGTTTTTCCTACAATCTGTCTCAGCACCTCATTGCTGGCCCCCATTAACCATCCTGCTTTGCTGTCGCGTAGCAAGCGCTCCAAACCTGTAAAGGAACATTTCACACGTTAAAACTACACGAGCTAAAGAAATTGTAAAAGAATCTACTACCTCAGATCTTTGTAACCGTACAGCACAGAACTATTAACACTTGAACAACAGTCCAATATGTATTTTTTTGTACTCAGTTTTATTTTGAACCAAAACCACTGGCTTTGCTATTTTCCAAAGATCTAACTTCCGTCAGCTTGATAAGCCCTAAAGAACATTGTCCGAAGGAAATCTAGGCATCTTCAATCCTTTTTTTTTAAAGTATCCGAAGATTTCCGACCATGTTCGAAGATTTGCGAAGAAGATCCGAGAAAGAGTTTCTAATCCTGACAGACTTACCAAGTTCTTTCTTATAACCAACTCCTCCACAGGCATGCAACATCTCATCTGCGACGTACGATACATTTGCGGCAGCTTTTATTTTGACTTGAAAACACCAGTGATGAAACTGACCTCGACTATAAGAAAAGATAAGAAGGAGAGACAAGAGAGATGCAAAGTGTTAAGGTATCATCCAGGGTAAAAACCCATCATTTTTCGAAATTTTCAATTTTTAGATGATTAAGCAGAGTTCATCAAGAGCTTTCTTTTAAAAAAAATTCCAGGAAAAAATGTTTTTTCTGAGCAGACTTATGGAGCGCAAAAGTTTTTTCTATGCTAATTATTTTAATTGATCGTTGACATGTCCTGTCATACTTGATACGCATGCCGCTGTTGATCCAAGCTAATCACGCAATTTGACAGAAATCGTGGTCTACAAGTATAGTGCACACTGTTTTTCCCTGGACTTTGGAAGTGAATGCCTCCAAAGAAGAAAAAAGAGCTTGTCCGTTTTCGTCCTTGACTCCAAGACGAAAGAAGACGACAAAATCGTTTTGCAAAGTGTGGGTTTCGAAATTAGCAGAGAGCGACAAGGGCTCCTACTACAATCAAGAAAAATGGCTAAAAGATGACAAAGCTTCTGAAAAACCCATTGAAACTACCGCGAAATCGAGTTTCACGAGTTTCTTAGCGAGCGGAGCGAGCTTTTTAGGCCGCGAAGCGGCCAAGCAAGCGACAAATTCGTGACCGGTACCGCGCCATATAAAAATCGGACGAAGGACTTTTTTGAAAGTCTATTGTGGCAGGAGAGCAGCTTCAAGAAAAACTCCAGGAAGCGGTTTGTTGTCGATTTGGCTTGGCTCAAAATGAAAACTGCCCGTCGCAAATAGCTAAAGATGCTTTCTCAACAACAGAAGGATCGAACAGAGCAGAGCGTTTGAAATAAATTGTTCATCTGTTGTTGCATGGGTTTCGTTTGTAACCTTTTCCTGCTGTGTCACTATTGTTGTCCCTTTTCTGGTATGCATCAACATTGACAGCTTTGGTGTTATAATCGGTTATAATCTCGTCACGGGCAATACGCCGCCAAAAATCTTTTCCCCCTGTTTTCTTGAAATGAAAATCACAGCAAGTTGAGGGTACGTTTTAAACTCCAAGTCGGCAACCCGTGAACCAATTTGGCTGAAATTTGGCCAACTTACTGTCAGACAGTTTTTCTAAAAAACCGTGTCTGCGAATTTTGATTTCTTTTTTCGTTTTCGAGTAAGAGTATTTTTTCACAGGTAGTGCTAAAGATTTGCTATCCCTAATTTCAACTGCTTATAACAAAAGAACAAACCCACTTGACAAAAATCTGAGACACGGTTTTTTAGTCAAACGTGTTAAGAAGCGAATGCGATCTTAATTGGCTTCTTCCGTTTATTTTTGGCTGGCCTGGACTTAAATTTACAGCGACACCCACTTTCACAAAAAGCTTCTCATTTCTGAATCGCGTTAATATTTTGATTTTTTAAAAGGAATAAGCAATAATCTGGAACTATTAAGCTTTCAGAAAATGTACGGTTTATGGGGGTATTTATTAAAAGCAAAAGCGCTAGCGCCGATCAACGCGGGGAGGGTGCTTAAGGGTGGATGATACCTTAAAAGACCAAGCAAAGAAAAGTAGACAAAACTGCGATTAGTTGCGATCAGGCGCCCTTCCTTGTTCCAGTTAACGAGCATAAAAAGATTTAAGTGTACATTACTTAACACGCATATCTTGTTAATGGCTGACTACGACAGCAAACCATCTCGATGGATATTTACAGGACAGCGGAAGCCCCCTATTTCCCCTCCAAAACATAATGACTTATATAAGAGGAGAGTATCCTCGGCCTCCACACTTCAAATCACTAGTAGTCAAACAACCCCCCCTCCCCCCTCGCCTCCCCTCTCATTTATTATTTCGATCTTACTGCAAATGAAACTAATACACTAATTCGCGCTGGGGTGAGAAGACAACGCTAAAACGTTACAAAGTTTAGCCGGGCTATTGCAGAGATTTGTAAAAACTTGCAACGATTAATAACTAATTAGCTGGCAACTCTCGATCTTCTTGGAAACTTACTCGAAGACGCTCGGAGCTTTTCTACGGGACCCAAAAATTCACGATTCATAGTTATCGAAGAGAATTAGTCGCCCGGAAGATGCTTGGCTAAGATTGCGTCGGAGATTTTCTTGTCCTAATTTGGTTGCAATTGTCGTGAAATTATATGATTAAGTATCAGTTAGAAAGTGATTTGTTGACTTGTTGTAATGATGCACTACTTACCACGGTGCTGTCATGGGTTCTTTGTAAATAGACCAGTCGTTGTTGTTAGTAACCCCGTCCATTCCCTTCGCCACGTTAAAAAGCATCAACCGCGAGCTGTTTGTTTCAGTGATGGCTTTACCAAAATAATCCTGAAATAAAACACAAAGAAAGGGAGTGAATGCAGTCAAAATTAAACTTCAAAACCTTTGATCTTCCCTGGACTTCTAGTTGTGCCGTAGATAGGTTTTGCTCTTACGATGGATGGATGGTTCGAGAATGTGGCGCGGAGATTTCAGGTGCACTACTGGGAGAGCAATACTTTCCGTTGGTATCGCTCATCGAGCTGTTCAAGATGGTGGTATATATGTAGCTTTTGAGTTCAGCTATCAGCAGTACTATTCGTCTTTATTTTTTATTTTGCAGTTTTCGGAAAGCTTGAGAAAACAGCCGACATTTCGCAACGCCACGGTTTGTTTTCCCGCGAAATGACGTCGGAGAAACGAGCGCAGAAATTTCATACTGATTACGCGTCACTACCCAGATCCGGGTAGTGCTTCTGACCCTTGAAGCGCTATAGAAACTTAGTTTGCTTCTACAAATTGTCGTGGTCTCCTTCAAATTCGCAGAAAATAAAAGTGCAGAGCTTATCAAAAATCACTCAAAAGGGATTGGACAGATTGGACAAGCATTGTCAAGAGCACATGATCTCTTACCTGTATAATGGGATAATCGGCCACGCGCAGGCCTGAATCAGCATGTTCTGTTCTGCTCACGTGTTTTTTAGCGACATCAATGGTACCCAATGCTAAACCGTTCCAACAGGCTGAGGAGTATAGCAGGAAGTATGGGTCAATGACTTCATGAGCAGCCAAGGGAAATTCACCTGTTGAAGAATTTAAAACTCCCGTTCATTGTTTTGTTTTAAAAATGGGTGGGTAGTGAAGCTCCTAAGTAAAAAAGTGGGAGTGAGTGAATGGAAGCATGGGGTCCAAATCTCTCGCCTTCAGCCGCATTTTTTCTCGGCTTCATCTCTTTCACCCTTTTTTAATTGTGAGTATTAAGCATTGTTGCGTAATTTCCCCAATTTCCCTACTCTCCCCACCGTTCTAGTTCTTCCTCCTCCTCCCGTACCCCTCCCGCCCTCTTCCCTCCCAGGCGCCATCCCCACTCCGTAGATTTCACTACAAAGAAGCCTCGACAAAAACAAATAGTCTTGTCGCAGTTATGATAAAATGGTATAAAACATCGTGGATCCTGATATGATGGACCAAGCTCCGTTTAAACCAACTATATAATATGACTCCAGTCCATTGGCAGGCCAGAGCACGCCTTAGCTTTCCTGTCCATTTAAAAAGGCATGACCACTTTGCAAAGCTTTATAAGTAGAACCCCAGGAAAGTATAGCGCTCAAGGCAATGGTTTTAATTTCTCTCTTGAAGGATCCCACTGAAGTTATTCTTCTACTTTGTTAATGTTTTATTACATTTATGACGTGAAGTTAACTCTAACTTACCAAATGACCCAACAAGCCTGTCTGCAGACAGAACTCCTTCACACACAACAGGGCTGGAATGGTTACCGCGCATGCCAAGTGCTGACCACTCATCAGTGCTGGAACGAACCTGGTCCTGTTAAAAAAGCACATTCCGCGAATAAGCCATTATGTTCGTATAAGTCTGTTCAGAAAGCACGTAGAATTTGCTCTTTTACTAAACAGCTCCTGTGCACTCGGAGGTTTCGCAGGGGCTCAAAGTACGCAGCTAAGGAATTAATGTGTCAAGTAACTGTCTTGTCATAAGATCACTGCTTAATCAAATACAAGGGTCTTGAGAATCAAGAAAAATGATGATCAAATATACATTTTGATTAGAAAATAAATTGTCATCATCCGTACGATAGAAGAAGGACAAGGAGAAATGTTTTTGATCGAATGTACTTAGGGTTTTAAGTATTACTTGATATTGCTTAATTATACCTTGAACATAAGAAACAGACTGAGATTCATGAAGTCGCCAGCAAACGACGGGCTTGTGCATTCAACCACGTAGAAGTCTGCAAAACCTCCACTTGTTACCCAGGCCCCATAACGTAACACTTGAATGGTGCTGTCATCAAGCCTCTTGGCCTTGGAGGAGAATGGAAACCAGTTGTGCCCACCTGTGAGGAAAAAATAACATTTTTAGGGAACTTTGTTTACATTTTGCTTGGTTCACCAGAAACTGTGAGGGGAACGTCTTTTGCATTGCCAGTCGTTTTCTGCTTATTTTATCTTTTTTTAGTTTACTACCAAAGTGTTACTTTCAATGGCTCTCTTACTATCTTTTTATCTGCCTAAAGTTCTCCTCAAGTTGGTATGTGTTTAAGCCACGTTTAAGTCTTGCCTTAATTGTAAGAGTTAACAACGGTGAACTTTAAGTTTCCTACCATAAACGCCAAGGCTAGGCGAAGAAGAAGAAGAAGAAGAGGAAGAAGAAGAAGAAGAAGAAGAAGAAGAAGATTTTCATAAGAAAGGTTTTGAACTTAGTCTCGTCTCGTTTAGGAAGTTAGATTTTTGGAACTCGACTTGAATGGTCTATTAAGTACATCTACCTGTAGCGGGATCGCTGAAAACCAAAGTTCCAATTAAACTGTCCTTGTCAAGCCGCATCAGTAAATCTTGGAGAGTCTTGTTGTCATGATGGCGGAAAAGCATCGCTGCGACTGCGCCTAGGTGCATCACTGAAAACAGAGATGAAATTATTAGAATAGAACTTCTGGGATTTTTAAGATTAAGACTGAAAACATTCACAGATTTGTATAGTCCTGGAAGTTCCAAAAATACTGGTGAAAGGGCAGGGCCATCAACGACTCACTCCAAAGTTGTCACTAAATAATTGGCTTTGACCATTTGGCGAACACTATTTCAGTACCACTCTGTGAATACTCTGCCGCAATTAACTTTCATTTGTACACTCTTATCTTTCTCCCATCTTTTTATCGTCCTTAATTTGCCTCAAAATGAATTTGAAGTAAATTCAATTTTTCAGCCAATTTTTTCAGCTGTTGAGCTGAAGCTCGTTGTTCTTGTTTTTAAGTCTCGGCTTTTGCGTTGATGTGACTAGTTCAGTGAAAAAGTCCTTTGTTCCAGTATTTTGCTCAGGGGAGTTCTTACAGTTGAGTTTGTAAGTGAACTGCTACGATGTGACCATGTGACTGAAAGCTTCAGAGTACAATTTCCGGTGGCCTTTTTGTACTTGTTTAATTCAGGCCGCTATAGGAGCCCAAAAATATAATACATTCACAACAATACTAACTCACCATAAATCATGGCGGTACTTGGGCAGCCATATCTGGCGATAGTTTCCACCACCATGGCGGCACACACGTGATTCTGACCCAGGCCACCAAGTTCTTTAGGTACGATAAGTCCCAGAAGGCCGAGCGATGCCAAGGCATCCACGCTCTTTCTTGGAAACTCATAAGTTTCGTCGCAGATAATCTGCAGAAATAAATTCCAGTTCAGAGGTTCTTCTGATTAACATTCTTAATTTTCGTTTTGGAAAGGGGGTTTGGAAGTTTTAATTATTAGCCCAAATCTTCGTGACCTTTTAGTTAAAGCACAATTACCCGTTATCTCCAAAAATCTGTTTCCGCCAAGCTTCTTCCGCTGTGGACAAAAATTGGCCACTTGTCCATACATTACTAACGGCCTCACAAGTTATACCTTTTACGCTACAGGTGAAACACGCTCCATCTCTTCTCAAATTACTTGTAACACTAAAAACGTGATCTACATGGTTCAATGTAACCGTTGTAATTTACAATATATAGGTGAAACTAAGCGACGTCTCAAAGACAGATATAACGAAAATGACAGACGTGCAGTCGACAAAACTAAACTGTTTCTGAACACTTTCTCTCTCACTCTAACCATTCTCATACTGACATGCAGTTAATCCCACTAGAGAAGATTCGTTCTTCACGTGACTCAGTTCGTAAGGCCAGGGAGTCGCATTTGATAGATAAGGCCATGACTCTTGAACCTCATGGCCTAAACCGCCCTGACGAATTATTGTAATCCAAATCCTTAGTATTTTTGCTATCCAGTAGTGTGTTGTACGTCACTTCCGCTTCTCCCTTTTAACCAATCTTTATTGCGACATTCTCCATCTATATAATATTGTGATGCCTACATAAGTTCAGTAACACAGTAACATCTGTAAACTTGAAGAAGGCTGGTATGGCCAGCCGAAATATTATTATGAAGAAACAATACACGTTGTTCTGAATCAGCTTTGCAGTACTCTTTGGACTTCTCGTTTTTGGTTCTTTATATTTTGGCTGATTAGATCTCTTTCCTAGAGATCCAACGTTTACAACTAGCAGGAACTTCGTCTACGGTTTTTGCAGTTAATTCAATCCTTAATTTTTCGAAAGGCAGGAAATTTCAGTTCCTCTTTGGTTTTGTAGATCCATTCAGTAGAATTCACATGCTTGTCGGTGTCACAAATGTTCGCCAAATGAGTTTTTTTCACGTTTAAACAGACTCAATATATGGAAAAACATTTCCTTGATAGCGCTGATGATTTCCTGTCCTGCGGCGAAAAACTTACGAAGTCAGAAGAGACTTCTGCTTGGCTGATTAGGGACGGACCATTAGAAAAGTTATGGGGGGGAGGGGAATTTTCGAGCTGCAAGAATTTTTTTTCGTTATCAGATTCTTTGCATGAATTTTATTTAGGCCATTGCATGAATATTTTTTAGGGTTAAGTGGCGTGCATGAATTTTTTTTCATTTAATTTTCCCTTGCGCGAATTTTTTTTTTGTACTTCGCCCGCCCCCCCCATAAGTTTTCTAATGGTCCGTCCCTTACCTAAATCTTTCCTGAGAATTGATATTTGTCAGTATGTCATCATACTTGAAAACAGTACACAAACGTCATAAGCGAGATACTACAGGCCAAGAATTGTGGCTGACAATTAATTACATACTGAGTTTTGCACGTATATATAATCGACATTCATATTTAATCATTTCCGTAACTTGCCTAAGAAGAAGAGGACATTTCAGAGTTCCAAAAAGTCTCACTTTCAAAACTAGGTTAAGTGAAAATCTTTCTCATGAAAATGAGTCCTTTTTGCTTAAGAATAAAAAAATCATTATGGTATCGCACTTATCCTCGCTTTGAAACAGAGGCTTGGGGCAACGTGGAAATTCACTGGCCCATTTTTAAGTGATCTGTTCTGGTGGCCGAGAATTCTCGAAGAAAAGATGAATAGATTATTGTCCGTAAATTTCTGAAATGTTGAGAGTATTACGGCACGCACTTCACCTGTGTTCACTTAGTGGAGAGTTGAAAGGTCCCTTTATCCTATATTAGATTTTAAGCTCAGTTGCGTCTAGACATCCAGGCTAGTGGACGCATTGTCTAAAGCCTCTCGGAGGGTTTAATCCGCAAGAGGCACTCGAAAGAACGTGCAAGTGTAGCTTACGGCGTGCACTGTAACCCTGAACCTTTCGCAGCGCCGAAAATAGTTCAGACTTTTCACAGTGAATTTTGTTGATTAAATGCCTTAACGTGTGATCATTCCATCCGTTAAAAATGTTGCTGTTGACCTGTATGCCAAATTTGAGCCACTAAAATAGAAGCAACTAAAATTTTATTTCTTAATTATGGCAAAGACAGCAAAAAAAAAAAAAATGTCAACCACTTGGTTTTACTTGATGTGACGTTGCTTGAAAAAAGGCGGTACAACCGAGATTTAAACCGACTTGGAGCCGATAAAACGCTAGGTTATTTTAGCTTTTTATATCTGGATAATCGGGAATTTTTCTAGATCTCGACGAAATAAAAATAAAAACTTGAGTCCAGTTTTTTAAATTTAACTGGGATGACATTTGAAATCTTCATACTCGACATGGTATCCTTTGCTACTTTCGGCTAGTTATTCATGTGAATTTTCGGCGTGAGTTTAGTCTGCGATCGAACAGCAGACGCATTTCCGGCCGTCGCTTCTCTCCCTCCGAAATTTTTCGGAGGGAGAGAAGCGACGACCGGAAATGCGTCTGCTGTTCGCGGGCTACGTGAGTTTGGAGAGCACTTTGTATATTGTGGTAACAGTACCACTATCCGGCCTCCCGCCACGCATCTCTCTTCGCGCGAAGTTATTATCACCATCGGTGTTCATCGTATCCTGGATATCCAATGATTAAGTTTGAACGTTAACACGATAAACACGTTGGCCTCACTTAAGCAACCGAACATGCTAACAACGGATAGTAGCACAGATGGACGCGATCAGCCCTGTCCCCCATGCTAGATACATACCACTGAATATATAAATAAAAAATAACTTGAAACTACTTAACAATAAACAATCCTGGCCAACTAATTTAATCCAAAGAGAGCCTTCTCGTATTGCAAAAGGCTGAGTTTTCGCCATCTTTTGCGTTAACATTCTCCAAGCATTTTGCTTTTTGAACTGTTATTTCCTTAAATTTTAGGCACCTAATAATGTTTCTTTATTTTTGTTTCTGGACGTTTTTTTGAGAATACAATGTAAATCGTAATTGTCAGTTGGATATAACTTGCTATTTTCTATCTTTCTTTGTTTTTTACGCATACGCGAAATTTTTCCAAGGTTCAAAACGCGGGAAAAGTTTGACTTAGGCTACACAGTACCGATATTTTGACAGCTTGCACAATACATGCGTTGAAGATCGAAAACTGAGGGACGACCTGGTAGCATAAGAGGAATGTTGCTGAGAGGAAGTTCGATCGAACAATGGTCAACGGTGGTCTGAACCGGCCGACTAGGCTACATCCGTGTACGAAGGAGGAATCAAATTGTATCTGCAACTTTAGCTAAAGCTAGCCAATCCGTTTCTATGGACACAAACGGGGGGTATGCAGGAATACCAGATGTCTTCTGCGTGTATCATGACCCATTTTATTTAAATTCCTCTTGGCGGACCTAAAAAACCTAGTAATACTTACAGCGTTCGGTCTGATCACAGTCCTACAAATCTCTATCAGTTTTGCTTGGATTTGTCTTTGTTCATCGTCCAAGAGCCATTGGGGATCGTAAACCCAATCTAAGCCCCAAAACTCCTTTCCTGCACCCCATGATTTTGTTCCCAGGGTTGAAGCCATCTCTAATAAAGTTTTACAAGACAGACTTCAGCGTGATCTGCTCTTGTCGAAGAGGAGCATTAACTGATCCTTGAAGAGTGATCTGTTAGTTTTATGGTCATATTCCATCACTGACACAGTAGTTGACCTTATTTGCGTCATTCCTAAGTGGCTTATACAATTGTACCTACCGCGCGCAAACAATAGGATATTGTTTTACCCTTGAAATAAAGAGACGCCAATTGACCGATTACCTTTCACCTGACTCGCTTTTGTTACAAGATCCAAACTGATATCACATATCCTGAATAACTCCAGTTTTCCATATGGCAAAAATTTACAGCTTGAAAAATGCAAACGGTATTAAGCACTGTAGCCTGCCTGCGCCGCAAACACCTTATACCCCGACCATACTAATGGTTTAGAAGGTGCGTATACCGGTTTTCACGCAGGCGCGAAGCAGTGCTTCAAACTTTTCTTGGTTTTAAAACCAACTTTGTGGAAAACGAAGGGCGTATTCCGTAATATGATGATCAGAATTTAATCCGTGTAAATCAAGCTTACCAGTTTGTTGGTTTGATTTACAAGACACAGATCCCGTGCGCAAAAAATTTACAGGCTGTAAATCGAATTAATGAAATCAATGTAAGAAATAACACGCAACGTTGGCATCCCAGCTGTACTCCTACAGGCCTTTACATGGAGGCTACGCCTGAAAGGTTTCCTATTCTGTCAAAGAGGGTATATAAAATGTAAGGGGTCGGATCTCGGGGCAAGGCCCCTCTATCTGATAACTTCACTGAGTGCCCTCCCGGAAAGAGGTAGGCATACAGTGCAAAGGCATGGCAATACTTTCACAGAGCTTTCATTTGAATGACCTTGAATGGTAGATTGCAATCAGTAACTAAGTGGTTCTTCTCTATGAAAGAGGTAGAATTCTACTGGAAAGGAAGCCTTTGAGAATTGATCTACAAAGAGATAGCGCACTGGCATCTCTTGATCTTTCACGCTCGTCAAAAAACAATGAAGAGAATTTTAGGAATACAGGATGGAGACACGTTCAGCTCTTATCAGCCAGAACGAAATTGGAAAACCGTAGTAATCAGGTTTGTATAATCCGTGAGTGGAGATCAAATGTGATCTTACACTCGTCATAATTTAACAGTCGTGACTTAAGGCACGCTCTTACTGTGCTCTAGCTTCAGGGAAGAAAACCTGGGGACGAAAAGCGCCTGACGCGGGCATTCGTTTGGAGTTAAGGGTTAAGACGGAATCCACCAGCAAATTGAGTAATTTTAGTTTTTAGTGGACAAAAACCTTGTACCAGAATAATTCAAAGCATACTGCATTCTTTTTTACATTTTTCAAGGGCTAAAGATGTAATTAGTCATCTGTAATAACACCAAAGAAAATTTCTTATGGGAGCCCAAGAATATAAATGTCAAACTTCACAAAATTACATCTTACACATGAAATTTTCAGAATTTTACCTGTGTTTTCACATTTCTCGTGAAATTTGACATTCATTTTCTCGGACTCCCTTTAGAAATTTTCTTGGTGTTATTAGCCCTAAAAAAGAAATAAAAAATAAAAAAAAGAGTGCAATATTCTTGAAATTATTCTGGTACAAGGTTCATTGTCCACTGAAAGTTAAAATTACTCAATTTCCTGGTGGATTGCGTCTTGATACATACACGTTCACAAACAATAGAAGTTCTGCCACGTTTGAACAATAACCAGTCCTTTGCATGAACGTGCGATCTCGGCCTGTTATTTTGAGTCCACTTATTTGTAGAATAACGCTTCCGTAGAAATATAGGCAAGCCTGCGTCGCAAATGCACTCTAATCCTGGTTAACTGGGAGTTTAGTTCCGTCTGTGGCGCAGGTTGGCAAACCATTATGTCAGTGACAGGGAGAAACCAAAAAAGTAATGAACTGCCAAAGGAACTGGGAAGATTGTTCATTTTATATCTAAGGTACGATGTATGGACTATCCGATCCTGTTTCGTGCATTCTTTTTTAACAGGGGCAAAAATATCATTCGTAATACCAAAGGTTTCATCTATGTACAGGCCCGGGGATACCGGGTATTAATTATATGCCGCCGGCAAAGTGGTATGGGGATAACGTTTTATAGTATATAATTTCACTATCACGTAAGCGTTTTGCGAGTCTTTAACAGGACTTTGTGCATGTGCCCTGTTTACATCTGTGGTACCACTAATCACAAACTGTATAAACGAATAAACACGCATGCATATGAATCCTAAACAGTAGAAAATGTTGAGATCGTAAAGACCAGGTTTTTCTCGTCGATATTAAATAAAGACAGAAAAAACAAACGTTTAATTGGGGTCACAAAAGGCAGAGCCTGCGGGCAAAACCGACAACAATCACTTGGATGATTATGGCCGCGAATTTTAAGAGCGTATTATAAACCCGGGGGGGGTACTCGATATATCCCTGGGTGGGGAGGTGCGGCACGGCCCCTCATACCCTAACCCTGTTTAAGACAAGTATCGCTGATTTTCCTACCCTGTTTAAGACAGAATTCCGATTTTTGATACCCTGTTTAAGACATTTATCCTGTTTAAGACAAAAATTGATAAATCGATACCCTGATTAAGACAAAAAATGATAAATTCGATACCCTGTTTACGACAAAAATCCCGAAAAACATACCCTGGTTGGCCGCACGTCCCCATTAAGCCCTTATAAGGGAGTACCCCCCAGGATTATAACCAGTCTGGAAAAAGGCATAAAACCGCAAACCGCAATACACCCACTTCACTAACTGAAAGTCTGCTCTCTGACGCAAACGTTTCAAATCGATAGAACTTATTTACGATTCCTATACCCGCTAGCCTGCAAATGCAGCCGTTTCTTCTTGCGGCTATCAAGTAGCAGTGACCGTTGTATCCGTGGGCTAATACCCGCCATAGTTGCACGCGCGGCAATGTCACGTAGTTTCTCAGAGGGCAAAGAAAATTTGCCCATTCAGGAAATTGCGGACGAGCTTGTTTATTCTAGACAACAGATAACTAGGACGTTTTTATCTTAAAGACGATAACGGCAAGCAATGGGTGGAAGTGATCATTACAGAGTTCTAATATCAGCTTTGTTGCAGTCTTTGGACTTCCCATTTTTTTTTTTGCTAATATTTTAGCTGATTAAATCTCTTTTCTAGAGATCCAACGTTGACAACTAGCAGGATCTTCGTCTACAGTTTTTGTACTTAATTTCTTTTATTCTGCAGTAGGACGTCGTAAAAGAATGAACTTGTGAAATTATGGGATTTTTCGGGGTATTATAAAAGAACAACATCCAAAAGGCTTACTTGCCAAAAATTAGCAATTTCCAGGGCAAATCGGTCTTTGAGACATTAGCCCAGTTATGCTCTGATGACATCTACAAAGTCTTCTAAATTTGTCTCAGTTCAAAACATTAGGAGCCGAGTCATATTTACTAAGGATTTGTATGGAGTCATCAAAGCAAAACGAGACTAGTATCTCCGAGACAATTTGTCCCACAGTGGCTAGTATTTGGCAAGTAGGCCTTTCAGATGTTGTTCTTTCAAAACACTTTAGAACTTTAGAACTCGATAATTGTTACTTTTTTGGAAGCATTAGCGACCGTAAATGTCCTCACAGGACAAGTGCAATATTGACATAATACTCGGTGAATCTCAAACTGTGCATTTTGCATGACCGATACAAACTCGATCGCCATTCGGCTCGTATATATTGGCAAGTGTTATCACTTGTTTGCCCCCTGAAATACCACGTGACATTACTTTTATCCCGTCAATCCTAAAGATCCTAAAGCGTGTGCAAAGATGGTGAGTATCGTGAATAAGGTCTGTTAGCTTGCGTACGTAGCATGCGCCTGCTTTAGTCTTTACAGGTAACAAATCGATTTACATGCACAGTCTTCGACCATACCCACAAAGACTTTTTAACCTCATACCCAAATGATACCTCCCGTAAGTAAAAGCACGTGCAAGAATTTAAACAAATACTCAGAGAACTGTTTGTAGATATCTTCAATGATGACAAAAAGACTCCAGGTTGGATTGCAGGAATAACATAACAACATGGGACCTAAATACTCTAGGAAGTTGAACATCCGAGTCGAAATTTAATCTCGATGTTATTTTATATCAATGCAGCACCTTTGGAACATCCTTCCGGAAGGTCACAATAAAAGAATGTTTGTTTGTTTTGTTTTGGGGAAGTACAACTCAAACTAAAACACTATTACAAAAATGAACGCATAAGGCTGAAGAAAGAAACTTGAGGTTAAGATAGTACATTATTTCGCATAATGATAATATTTCAAATCAGTTATTTCGGTCCTTTAATGTGGTTTTCTTTGATCTTTTTGAACCACCAAACCGAGGCTTTGTCAACAGCTCCTTTTAATACCTTGAGCAAAAACGATGAGAATTCCCTCGATGATATCCGAACGTTGGATGTTGTTTGTATCTTAAAATCTTTTGCAAGTGAAATTATTCTACTGAACTAAAAAGTCCGCTTATCATGATTTTTAGAAGATCAAAGAGCTTTTTTCATCAAAAAGGATACATACCCGAAAAGGCTCTCAGTAGGGGAAAGGGGACTCTCTTTGTCCCAGTCATGGAGCTGGTTCCAAACAGGAGAAACCTTTTCTCTGGACATCAAGTTATTTCCAATCTCACACTTGTCTTTACAGTAGTCTTAAAACGAGAAAAAATTTAAATAACTTACTGCGTTTGGTCTGATCACAGTCCTACAAGTTTCAATCAGTTTGGCTTGGATTTGTCTTTGTTCTTCATTAAGTAGCCATTGTGGATCGTACTCCCAACTCATGCCCCAGAACTCTTTTCCACCCCATGTTTTTGATGCTGGCCTCGATGACATGTTCAAACTCTTGTGTTGAAGAACTTCCTCTGATCGTGATTTATTGTCGATGCTCTTGTTATGATATATCTGACTTATTATAGAGTGATGTTTTATAACCCTGCTAACGGACAAAGTATTTGACACCTAATATATGAGATTAGAAGGTCTAACAAGGAAGTCACGTAGCACAGAGCCGGAGTTACCTTGGCAAACCAGATTTTACACAAGTGGTGTTCCGCTACCTCGACCGATATTTGGTCTTGGCCGAGATAGGGCAGCATAACCAGAGAAGTTGAAATTACTTTTTATATGGTAAAAAAGGAAAGAACTTACATAGGCTTGGTTGATGTGAAAAAACTAGAGAGTCAATAAGACAATGACTAACCTACGTCTCAAGCGGAAATAATCACGAAACAGAAAAATGATTGTTTATATAATGTTCAGTGGCGTGACGGCACAAGTGGGCTGTAGAAAACGTGTCCCGCGAGCAGAGGTTACGTTTTCGCGACATGTATTAGCGTTACTTTCCCCCCCTACAGTATTTTTTCTGGCTCGTTTTCCATTCTAATGCTTACGTCAACAGTCCTTTTATTTTTCTTATAGCCTTCCCTATGTTTATTTTGACATCGTAGGGAAAGAAATTCCGGCACATCCAGCTTTCGACGGATTCAGGGTACCTCAAAAATTCTATCGCGGCTCTCTATATAGTTGACATGTTTTTCATCAGCAGCGAGCCAATGCTTGACCGCGGCGATGATAGCGTCCACATCGCTTAACAGAGTAAAACTATACTCAGTCTAGTCAGTGACTACTATCATTAATCCTCAAACTTATCCGATGTAGTCGATGTATCTAAGAAACAAATCAGTAGGAATGGAGTACTGAGAAAGACGATTTCACTGTAGTGCGTCGATGTGTTCGATCCTTCCTGTCTTTTGCCTTGCCGTGCTTTGCCTTGCTGTGTCCCTTAATTATAATTAATTATAATTATTATGCCTAGTCAATAATAATTATAATTATACCTTAATTATGCCTTAATTATAATTATTAACCCCAGTTAATAACTAGGGTTATAATTATAATGACGTTCAACAAATGACTCGTTTAAAAACAGTAGAAGGCAAACCTCACTGAAAGGCGCAAAGATCAACAAAAGTTACTTTCCAGCAAAGTTTTGTAGTGTATGATATATCTCCGCGGGAGATACTCCCATACGGGCTATAGATAGGTACTTAGGTAAATGCCGCCCGATAGGGTAAAACACTGTTTGAGTCTCTCGCAGTTGTCGTCTCGCCCCTTGATTTAGGGTATGGCCTTATGGTTTTTAAAGATCTCAAACCTTCAATACGGTATCGCTTTTGCCCTTGTTGTCATTGTGTTGCTGGTGTGACCCTTACTAGTAGGCTGCTTAAATTGTATCAGCCAAAATAGAAGTGCATGAACGCCCGGCTAGATGAGAAAAGAAACCATCTGTTAAAACTGAACTCAACCTCGTCCCTATTGCTTTTCCCTCAAAAAACGGGTGGGGGAGGGAAAATGGCCTTTTCTTCTAGCAGCAGTGGGAAGACGATTTCATGAAAGTTTTGTGTTGCCATTAAATTCTTAGCTTCTCACAGTTTTTCTCTTTGAATAGGCAACCTCGTCCCCAGGATGCTTTTCCCTGGCTTTGGAGGTGGGGCGGAGAATTGGCCGGCCGATGCCAGGGCCTTTTTCCTCCCTACCTCCAAAGCCAGGGAAAAGAGCCCTGGAGACTAGCTTGTTGAATGCAGTGTCATTTTTCGGGATTGGGATTGGGTCTCTAATAGGGTATAAACTTTCATTTGTCCGATCCTTAAATAGGGTCTGAGGCCTTTAAGACCGTTAACGTTGGCAGCACACACCGTATCCGATATTATGGGAGTCCCCATCCCTCTAAGAATGTATCATCCTGGGACACCTCACTTCCTCTACAAACGCGCCCGAGTTCCGAGCACCACCGTAGTAATTAATTCATCTGCACGCACCCCTAACTGATGAATTACTACTTCCTGGCTCCAGGAGCTGATTGCTGACACTAATTTGGGCTTTCATTCAGGACACCATGTTCATCTGGGCCTAGTTGACTTAGAAGAGAGTATTAAATTAAGGAATTAAATTAACTGCAAAAACCGTGGACGAAGATCCTGCTAGTTATAAAGGTTGGATCTCTAGAAAAGAGATTGAATCAGCCAAAATATTACGAAGCAAAAACGAGCCGAGTCCAAAGAATACTGCAAAGCTGATCAGAACAACGTGTATTGTTTTTTCATAACAATATTTATTCAGGTTTACAGATGTTACTGAACTTGTGACAGGAATCACTAATATTGTATAGATGCAATGGAGAATGTCGCAGCAAAAATTGTTTAAAAAGGAGAGGCGGAAATGACGTACAACACAAGAAACTGGAAAAGAAAAAACAATGAGGATGTGGATTACATCGTCACGGCGGTTTAGGCCGTGAGGTTCAAGAGTCATGGCCTTATCTATCAAATGCGACTCCTTAGCTTTACGAACTGAGTCACGTGAAGAATGAGTTTTCTCTACATGGTTCAATGTAACCGTTGTAATTTACAATATATAGGTGAAACTAAGCGACACCTCAAGGACAGAAATAACGAACAGAGACGTGCAGTCGACAAAACTAACATTAAATCTAAACCCACTACTGTTTCTGAACACTTTCTCTCTAACTCTAACCATTCTCATACTGACATGCAGACTGCTTAGTTCTCTAGTGGAATTAACTGCATGATGAAGTTAATTCCACTGGAGAAAATTCATTCTTCACTTGACTCCGTATGCCCGGCAGACTCAAGGTAAGAGGACAGAATGTACTAAAAATTAATTATTAGCCTAAATTAGTTAAATAAGCGTTTAGGTCGTCTAGAAGACACTGAAAGACACACAAAAAGGGATATGGATGGAATGTATTTCGTCACAGGTAGCCCAAGCTCGAAATATGAGCATCGGCGAGCATCGCCTTGTTGCGTAACATTAAAAATATAAGGATTTGTATGGGAAAAAAACCTATCGGTTCTCTAAACTACGAAAATGAAAGGATTTCAATAAAAAACAGCTTACCTTGTAAACTTAAAATGTGTGTTACGTCTCTCCTGTGTGGTCCACGGGCAGATTTATGGCCGTTTTATGGGTTTTTGTGTGAACGGTTTTCAGTAAACCGTTCGAAGGTTAGAGAAACGATAGGTTTTTTTCCCATACAAATCCTAATATTTTGAATGTTACGCAACAATGCCGATGCTCGCCAATGCTCATATTTCGAGCTTGGGCTACCTGTGATTTTGTATCCGGATCTTCCTTGCTCACCGATCACAGAATTAGCTTGGGTGTCCTGTGAGAAGACGATTGAAGACTTGGTCCCATTCTTCCCTCTGATTTTCTTGCACGTGTAATGGCGGCCAGATTTGAGAATTGTTGAGGGTAAGAATTTAATGTTTTTGCAAGATGCCTACTAGATCACGGACGAAAACTTCTATAAGCGACTTCGAATGGATTGGCCAAGAAACTGTAGATGATGGAAAAGCTTTTTACAGGTAATTATCCTTCTTAGCGATAGGTTGACTTCAAGTTTTATCTTGTGGCTTAGAAAATCAAACTCGCATCACTACCTTTCAACCATAAGACATAATAAATTTGATACAATCTGAGCAACGTTCGAAGTTACTTCATGATTTAACTCGAGATGAAAAGACGATTGTTTGAAAGCTGCTGGGTCTCTCAAGTACACAACAACTGCTTTGGGTATCATCAAAGCATGAGTCTCTGTCGTGCAAACTGAAATGTAACGGCATGAAGGGATGGGAAGTATTGGTGTGCAAAAAATTGACCGAAATTGGACCCCCTCCCCCTTTCTCAAAAATTTTTTGATCTGCCCCCGTTTTTTCATGTTACACAGCATGACACAGGGAGGAGACATGCAACTGGACAGAAATGTTGCAGAGGGGTAGAGTGGGAACAATGGAGGGAGGTTATATACCATTAATTTTTGGGGGGTGGGTGTACTGTTATGTTGTGACCCTGTAACCTTAGCCTGGCTATACCAGATTGTGAATAGCTGTATTAAACACAATAATATCAACCAGAAAGTACCCTCTAGTGATAATACCCCTTTTCACGGTTTATGACGCCATCTTGGCTGGGGTGCAACCACGGCTAAAATTACAGTGATTCTATGTGATTTTGGCCCACTTGGAACTGCTATAATGCTGCTACAAAAAAGGCGGATTTCCAACATTTGCCACTACTTTAAATAGTTTTATTGATATCATTCATTCAACAGAAAATAAGGCTATTAAAGAAGGTACGAAATCCGTAAATTTGAATCATAAATCTTCTCATGTGGCTTCTAATTTCATGATAATTTGCCTAATGTTGATTAGAAGGATTTGTATGAAATCTTAAAAATTTGTTTACGGTCATTATAACCTGAATCTCTTCTTTATACTTCATGAAAATAATCTCAGTATACAAATGTATTTTAAAATACATTTTTGCTGTGGAAATCCACCTCTTTGAGGCGGTGTTATAGCAGTTCCAAGTGGGCCAAAATCCCATACATTCACTGTAATTTTAGCTGTGTTTGCCCCCCAGCCAAGATGGCATCATAAACCGTGAAAAGGTCTATTTTCGATGAACTATACTCAATTCTAGACCAAGTAAAAAAGGCTCTGATTGTGTGGTTCCAAAAATTATCCATACCTCCCCCACGGAAGGGATTTTTCCTTAAACTCCCCCACCTCTCTGAAAATTCCAGTCAAGCTTCATACATTTACTTAAGTTTCTGGGCCTTTGAGAACCCCCCACCACCGAGGAATTTCCAATCCCTTCTGTGCAGGGAGTATGGATATTTTCTGGAACTACGCATTGTGAACTTGATCAATTTTTTCATCAGTGAATGCAGATTCAATAGCTGTTTATTGAAATGTGGTGACAATGTTATTGTCAGTGGAGGCAACGATGAATACTTTGTTGGCTGTATTGAGAAACTCTACAAACATGAGGAAGCAAAAGATCCAAACAGAGCTGTAGTTCAATGGTATTTTACCTACGAAGAACTGATGAAATTGAGCAAAAAGGTAGCTGTTGATGTACCAGAACCTTGGAGAGAACTCTTTTTACCTTGCTCTGAACATGTTAAGGGTAGCATGGAAGACATCGATGCTGAGACTATTTCCAGAAAGTGCACTGTATTAAAACTTAAACTAAAGGATTTGCCTCCAGACAGTTTAAACTGTGATAAAGAGAAGGATTTATTTTATGTGCGCTACAAGTTTGACCATCATTACAACCTTTATCCTGTAAATAAAAAGATTGCTGGAGAGTCCTCGTTAAAAAGAGAACCAAGTTCGACAATAACTTTGAGTAACACAAAAACCCCAAAAGCTTCTTCAAGGAGATTGTCATCAAGAAATCAGACACCCCTTCAGGAAAACACATTTGATAAAGCAAGGGAGACACCACAAGCAAAAAGGACACCAGCAAGACGAAAACGTGAGTTACATTTTCATCAAAATAAATACCGTAAAAATATAAGCCCCCCAAACTCGTAATGCAAAAAACCCTCTGTTAAACCACCCCTCCAAATATATTTAGTAAAAAAAAGCAAAAACGGTAAATTTCCTTCCAACTATAAGGCTAGCCCAATCGCCTTTGAAACGCAAATTTCGCTCCTTAGGTAATCTGCTCCGAATATAAGCCCCTTCAAAAATAAGCCCCTCAAAAAGGGCCTTTAAAGATATAAGCCCCGGGCTTATTTTTGGAATTTTACAGTAATACGTTTTATAGCTCTTAAGTTGTTTAGCTCATTAATAATACGTTTAGCCCATTAAGTCCCAAGAGTGTCAAACATCAATTTTCTCCCAACAATATTAAATATTATTATTATTCATAAATATACAGTAGAACCCTGATAACTCATACTCAGATAACTCAAACTCCCTGCTAACTTGAGCTAAGCCCCATTTCCCTTGGATTTATACAGTCATGCATTTTTGCTCAGTTAACTGATCTTGGGTTACTCAAATCCCTTGCTAAATTGAACTAAATTTCCTTTCCCTTGATCAAAGTTTTACAGAAATGTGCCACAACAACTTGAATTCTGGTTCTTGTAACTCCATTCGGATGCCATTTCGTTAGCTCTTCTTGCTGTATAATTTGGTGAAACTACTAAAACTAACACAACAGCAGTAAATTTGATTTTGATTGATGCAATCAATGTATTCCAGGGTAAAAAACATCATAATTTGACAGGTCTAATTGCCTTCGTTATTGACATGTTTTTGACATACAGTACATGTATGTGTTACAAGTGGGTAGATACGCGGCATAAAAAAGTCTACAGGCTTGCCCGCCATTTTTTATCCCCCAGGCCAAGTTTTTCTCTTTGTATTTCTCCACCTGGGAGTCTGTTTGCAGGCTATTGCAGTCAAGTCACATGACTCCAGACTTGTGGCACAATGGAAGTCCCGGATATACACTGCAGTGACCCACTAATCTAACCACTCATAGAGTGTGCACTTGCATGTAGTGAGACATTCTTCAAATAATCTTAATTGTTTTCTTCTGTACATGTTGTACATGCAGTTATAGATCATTCATCGACGAAGAAAAATGCCCCAGCTAGTGTCAATAACACAGCAGTGAAAACCAAATGTAAAGTGCCTTTGGAGCCACTAGTGTTCAATAGTGGCTGTGTTGTTCCTGCTAAGAGGAGGGCAAGTCGTAGCATTCCTGATGATTCAAGCGTCACGCCCAAAAGAAGCAAAGGCTGTGATGCCAGTACAAAGAAGTCAAAAGAACCAATACACTCACCAAGGCAACGATTTGGTAGGTTTTTGATCACTGACAGTCAACTCCTCTTACGCATTTTGCTCTGTCTTCTGTCATCTGACAGAGCTAGCTTTTGCTCTTGATGAAAGAAAAAACAAATAGAAAGCCAAAAAAAAAAACAAAACAAAAAACAAGCAAACCAAAAAAGACAAACTAACAAAAACCAAAACCAACAAAGGAAAAGAGGAATGAAACAGAGATAAGATAGTTACTGAAAAGGGCTTAAATGCCTAGAGCTTTTTGTATTAAAACCAAGAAGACTTTACTAAATTGATGACTTAAAATTTGAATAAAGCATCAGCAACAAAATGACCAGCAACTAGATGTAACAAACTAGTGGTTATCCAGAAAAGTGACTTACTGACCCACAGGATCAGTTTGCAAAAACATATACCTGTGCTCATGGGCTCTATTATTTTAATCAAAACTACATGCAAACCTCAACTTTAAACATGATGGCAGTGTTCTTTGTTGAATCTAATATTAATCATGTGTAGGAGTCAGCTAATTTCGAGTTTAGTCATACATACATGACTTTGTATGTTTGTCTTGGAACTCTTTTGTTTGTGGCAGGAACGGCTGAGGTTCTTGAGCAATTATTTGAAGTCGATGAAGATGATGACAATGACAATGTCTTTCACTCCAGTGATGAAAGCAGTGATGATGATCATTTCTGTCCTAAAGCAGGTAAAAGTTAAACGTAATGTGTTTAGGACAGCTAGTGTTGGCTAATCTTTATCAAGTGCTACATTAATTTATAACTTTACCTTGTTGTTTTGGAAATTAGAGGAAGCCAATTTGTGAAGAGTATGTTAGGTTTATGCGATTGACTTCCTTCTGGGATACATGTAAGGTTCTCTCCTCTCGTGTGTTGCATTCTTGCGCTCTTTAATCTCCCCTTTTCTTTCTCCTTTAAACACCTAAAACGCAGGCTACAGAGTCGTGGAGTTTTAAACAAGTGTGGCAGTGATCAATAAACTCTTTGGAATAGCATTTACAGACCAAATTGGTCAAGATAAAAAAGAACTTTGGTCAAGCAAATTAAAACGGCTATTAAATCTCGCAGGTCTTGGCGACATATGGTGAGCGAAAACGAACACTCCCGCAATCATGAGCTATATACGACAGAGGCTTTTAGACATAGAACAGCAAATATGGATTAGCGAAATACGCAATGATGAACGAAAGGACCGGCATCAAAAAAACAAACTAAGAACTTTTAGGAAATTTAAACTTACCCATGACTACGAAAATTACCTCACAAATGTAAGAAACATCAGTCATAGAGTAGCAATCACAAAGCTAAGATTAAGCAATCACAAACTAGCAATTGAAACTGGGCGATACGTTAAACCCTATCAACCACCAGACCAAAGAATCTGTCCATTATGTAAAACTGGATTAGAGGACGGGGAGCATTTTTTGATGAATTGCATAGCCTATAGGGATCCTAGGAAGAGCTGTTCAATACGCTAAAAA